AATCCTTTGATCATTCTCTGTGGAAGCTCCCATGCGTGTTTCTTCTTTAATCCTTAACTAGATTGTTTGCCATTGGCTTTGAGTAGAATCCAGTTGTTGACTAATAGGACTTTCATGGACTCTGTTAAATTCTGCATTGGTTGCTGATTTGCAGTTCTAGTTTGCAACTTATTTACCTAGTTTAGTCACTATATCATCTGATATTCCAACAATTAGCAGGAGTTCCCTGTTGGATTAAATATGAGATTAAAATGTGTAAACCGGTCAGGTGCAGCAGCTCACACCTGTAATTCCAGCACTTTGGGAGGCCGAGGCAGAAGGATTGCTTGAGCCTAGGAGTTCAATACCAGCCTGGGCAACATAGTGAGACCTGTCTCTACACACACAAAAAAAGTCAATAAATGAGGTAGCAGGATTGCTTGAGCCTAGGAGGTCGAGGCTGCAGTAAGCTGTGATTGTGCCACTGCACTCCCATCTGGGGGACAGAATGAGACCTTGCCTTAAAAAAAAAAAAGGTGTTAACATAGTAGATGTCCAATTAATGGGAAAGGCCTCTCTTTCACTTTCCCCATAAAATGCAAACAAAATGGTATGTTCATTTGCATTTTATACCTTCGCCTAGAATACTCCATCCTTGGGACAGGTCAGTTCACTAAGGAATATTTTCACATAATGACTACCTCTGCTTCTCTATAAAAACATCTCCAGAGCTCATAACTTGGAGCCCTTGGGAAAAGAGAACCTCAGAGTGGAAGTGGCTGGAGGCCTAGGGTAGTTGATACTGTCATCGGGGCCAGCTAACAGAGACCTGAATCATATAATATGGTATTCAATAGGTGGGTCAAAGGAGCCTGTTAGATTGAATTAACAGACTTGTGCTGGAGATGTAAACTGGAATAAGGATCTCAGGAGAGAAGGAACTTAAGGTGGAAGTGGGAAAGTGGAATGGATGGTTAGGTAGGTGTTTTATCCTCTGAGATGTGATCTTAGTGGCTTCTTTACCCTCCACAAGAGGGTAAAGCATCCCTCCCACTGGCACTTTAGAAAAATATTTTTAGTTTTAAAGGCTTTCATTCCTGTTCACAAGTCAATGCCCTTTACTGGGCTGACGTGTTGCGCTGCTAAGTCACCCACCCCAGTGTTGGGAAGATTTGATAGAGGAGTTTGGAGGAAAGTGGGAAGGAATGACTGCTTAGGAGAGGAGAGAGGCTGGCAGTGAAGTGCAGCCCAGGGCACTGGCCTGACAGCCCTAAGGGACCCCTGGGTGTGTTTGAGGCTTACATAGTTCAGATTTCTGCATGCCTGGACACGCTCTCCACATGCTTTTCCTGAGGCCGTGTGTTCTGCTTCTTCAAGAGAGTAAGCCTCCGGCCTGGTCAGGCCCACTTCCACCTCACTGGCTGCAGTGGGTCAGGCCTGGGCTTTGGCTTCAGCTGCCTCTGGGTTCCCATTCCTTGTCTTCTCCCCATCCTCCACATCTGCCTCTTTCCCAAGCCTCGTCTTTTCTCCAGCTGTCCTCGACTATCCCTCCATTTCTTTCTGCCGTGGCCTTAAGTCTTTGCGTCATGGGTGTTCAGCATTTGCAGACATTTAGCTTTGCCTCATGTCATATTTACTATTGGTTTATTGTCATGTGTGTGTATGTGTTCTCCCTAACTTAGCATCTCTCAAAGTGTGTCCCATGAAATCACGTGATCAGATTAAATGCAAAACAAGTTTATAAACAAAGGGTAGGAAATGGTGGTTTTAGCAAAGGTTACAAGCCCTATTAAACCATTGGCCACTGCAGAGCTTTAATTCACACATGTAGATCCTGAGTCCCTATGAAGAGCTTCTCAGTGTTATTTACTTGTGCAAGAACCTGTTTTTCATCTTGTGGTAGGTAGTATTCTGCAGGACACAGTTTCCTGAAGGGCTGCTGGAATTCACTTAGGCTCTGGAAGGGTAGAAAGCACATTATCCTTCACTGTGGGATCCCCGTGTTAGCTGAGGACAGTGCTAGGCAGGGCGTAAGTCATTCCTGAGTAAGCTCTTAGGACAGTTGCTTTTTGTTTTTTTTTTAAACCTTTTAATTGTGAAATTCATATAAAATTCACCATTGTAATCATTTTAAAGCATGAAATTCAGTGGCATTTAATATGTTCACAGTGTTGTGCAATCTTCACCACCATCTAGTTCCAGAACGTATTCATCACCCAAAAGGAAGCCCTGTACCCATTGAGCAGTCACTCCTCATTTGCCCCCTCCCTGCTGCCCTTGGCAACCACTAGTCTGCTTTCTGTCTCAATGGGTTTGCCTCTTCTGGACATGTAATGGAATCATACAGTATGGGGTGTTTTGTGCCTGGCTCCTTTCTTTAGTAAAGTTTTGATATAGATGCAACGTCTTAGACCTGAGTGATGCCTCTGCTCCTCCAAAGCAACTCTTTATCATTGGTCAAACCCCATAAATATATAAGTAACCAAAAGCAGCCATTCATCTGGAAACCTCCAAATTGCGTGGCCAGGTTAAAAATTCTGTGGAATATTGGTTGCCGTTACCATGATTTGACCTGAGACTTCAGGAAGCTGGCTGAGCTGTGCTGGAGTGAGCCGGGTCTTGAGCCCTTTCCCGGAGGTCAGAGGTGCCTGAGCTGTTGACATAATTGGCTCATTCCTCTTGCTCACCTTTTTTCTAGTCGGAGGTCTCAGCATTTCAGACTACTCATTGTTTAATAACTGTAGAACATTCTAGAGTGGGCTGAATCCTGCGGGGGCATCCTGGAGGAAAGGTTGCACCACCCGCGGCACCACAGAACCTCCATTGGCCCTTCAGGCATATTCCGTGAGCCTGAAAGCTCCTGCAAAGTTGGATGTCCCAGGGCCCTCTATCTCATATCTTGGAATTCCCAAGGGGTGGGGTATCTCTCATCCACTATAAAGACAGCTGCTGGCTGCCCTGTGCTCAGCAGTGGTGACCTCTCACCTGCCTTATGAACTTGTGCAACCCCTTTCCTGTTGTTTCATTGAATTGTCAAGGATCTCTTATTTTTGGCCTGCACCCTTTGCCCTCCACTTGTTGCTGTCTCTGGAGTCCAAGAATACCACTGCTGAAGAGGTTACCTGCCTGCCTAAAATAACTTCTTTCAGTACACCATCTTCTGCCTAAGCACCTGTAATACTGTCTTGGTGTCCAGACTCCATCCTGATTTTTGAGCCCTTCTCTTTCCTTCTCAGTGTAGACAGTAACCGTTCCTACTCATCAGACTGGATGCATTCTTTTCCCCCCTCTATATCATCTCTTAGCAACTCCTCCCCAGGCTTGGAACTGACTTCCCTCTCTCATTTTGCCCTGGTCAGTCTAACTCTTCCTTCGAAGCTCTGTCGAGGCTCAGCAGCTGCACAAAGCCTCCCCAGCCATTCTAGCAACTCTTGCTGCCTGCACCAAACTCATGTTACACTTGAATACCACAGGATTTAGAGCTGGAAACTTTTTTTCTAAGGATTTTATCTCTTAGACTTCCCCTGTCAGATGGTCAGCTCTCAGAGGAAGGGAGGATAAAGTAAGCAAGTGGAGTGGGAAGGCACTGGATTGTGAATCCAAGGGCCTGGTGACCTCTGGGTGTGCTACATACTGGCTGTGTGTTGGAAAAGCCACTTATCTTGGATTTCTGTTCTTATCTGTAAAACAACCAGGGGATAAGGTGGGCGTATTAGTTTCCTATTTGCTGCTGTAACAAGTTTCTACAAACTTAGTGGCTTAAAGCAACACAAATATTTTCTCTTACAGTTCTGGAGGTCAGAAGTTCCAAACAGGTCTTCAGGGCTACATTCTTTTTGGAAGCTTGAGGGGAGAATCCATTTTTCATCTTTGTCAGCTTCTAGAGGCCATCCTCATTTCTTGATTAATGGCCCCCTCCTCCACCTTCAGAGTACATCAGCCTCTGCTTCTGTCATCACATCTGTTCTCCGTCTTTCTCATGCTTCCCTGCTTCCCTTATGAGGACCTTTGTGATTGCACTGGACCAACCCAGATAATTCAGGGAATCTGTCCATCTCAAACTCAGTCACATCTGCAAAGTCTCTGGCTGTGTCAGGTAACTTATGCACAGGTTCTGGAGATTAGGACATAGATATCTTGGGGACCATATTCTGTCTACAGTGTGTTCTTAGGTCTCTTGTGTTTCTAACTTGTCATGAATCTAAAGACGTATTTCTTCCACTTATTTAAGAGCTTAGCACACACAGTGCTAGGCTTATCAACTTCTTGATAAGTTATGTTTATCCCTGAGGATTTCCTCTTCTCAGATTGTTATTAGGGATTCTAGGGCCTGGTACCACTCAATGATAGAACTGTGAGCACAGACCTTAGGGTTGTTCTGGTTTGACTGCACTTTCACACGCAGAAATTTGACACTGCTTATCTACCCATCTTTGATTTTGTGCTTTGCAAATTTTGAAAAGACCTCAAAGAATTTTATCTGTTTCCCAGTAACCACGGGTAGCCTTTAAACAGCCTGTTAATTACACTGGTGATGTCTGTGGTCTCTGCATAGAGTCCGGGATGTGTTTCCAGATCCTCTTACGTAAGTTGAAGTAGACATGTTGTTGAAGTCTAGAAGCCAAACAATCTTGGATACTAACCTAGCTAGTCTTGTCTGTAATTGCTACTTAGTGTTAAATTTATGGCATTTCACAGCAATTTAGATTGGCATTTATATGGGAATTGTGCTGTTTTCTTTCCCTAGATCCTATTGGGCAGTTTCCACCTTGGATCACCATCACTTAAAAGGCAGTAAAGAAGCATGCATAATATACATTTATAATGGCTCTATTGTGTTCTCCCCAGTGCTCAGCTCATTGTGCTGAAATAAAATTCCCCTTGGGTTGAAAAACCATCCCCACTCTTAAAATTTTAAGTTTTGACATTACTTTTGGCTATAGTATCTGAGAAATACACAGTATGAGTCAAGGAAACATGTAGCTTGCCTGCTGAAGTTTTCTTTCCATTTTATTTCCTAGATGCACCCACTGGGCCTATGTAATAACAATGACGAAGAGGACTTGTATGAATATGGCTGGGTAGGAGTGGTGAAGCTGGAACAGCCAGAATTGGACCCGAAACCATGCCTCACTGTCCTAGGCAAGGTAAGCACCAGGCCCTTGGAATCACTGTGTTTCTGGTTGGTGTTTTCTGCTCTTCCATTTCAGCATTCCTCAGATAGTTGATTATGGAGAAAAGCCATGCTGGCACAGTGCTTCTTCCCAGCTGAAGTTGTCTAAGGTGGGGACTGAGACATGCCTTATAGTGGCCCACCAGTGTTTACAAGCCCAGACTCAGAGAGACTGCCAGTCTCAGAGTGGGCTCTAGCCTCTTGTCCACCATGTGGCCTTGGGCAACTTGCTTCACTCAAGGAGTCTTAGTTTCTTATCTGTAAAATGGGCTAATAATAGAGATTCACAATACTTTATCTTACACCCTTGGGGCAAGATGTTTCAGAATTCTGAGATTTGGGGAGTTTAGAAAGGCATTAAGGGGTATAGATTTTATATTAAGTAACCTCCAAGAGACCTAGGGAAGCACTCAGTAACCAAACACATTCACATTTGTATAGCAAACCATAGGGATCTTCACATTAAGTGGGATAACTAAAATCTAAATAACCTAATGTTTGTTCACGGCAGCTTTGCCTCCAGATGAGTTTCAGGTCCATTAAGTTTTGCTGCCAAGTAAGTTATGGGAAAATGTTTGGGTTTTAGAGCTTTTTTTGGTTTCAGAATGGCAGACAGCAATTATGGTCCTGTATTAGAACTTACCTCATAGGTGGTTAGGAGGTGAGATGAGATGCAAACGCCTCACACAAAAGTAAGCCCTCAATAAACGTTTGCTGCCATTGGCTACCATCACTCCATTTAGAAGTACTAAAAAAGACATTTTAGCCAAGAGGGTCAGCATTACTTTGACTGCAGTATAAGATAGAAATAAATTTACTTTGGAAAGGCACTCATCAACAATCTTAAAATATGACAGGTAACAACCTGTTTTAAACTGGATTTTGTTTAAACTGCATCATTTTGTTAAAAACAAAGGTTTAGAGAAGGTGATTTGAAGTTTGGTTGGGAGAAAGGTGGTCTCTCCTAAGGATAGTGGTACTGACTGGATATCTGTTATATTCTCAAAAGCTGCCATTCTAGGTACCATGGGGAAAGAGCTGGGGCAAAAAACTGTCCTGGTTCCTAACCTCTTGAGGCTGTCTTTGAGAAATCCAGGAGAGAGAAGGGGTAGTTTTGAAGCAGGGTGCTAGAGAGGAGACTTTCCAGACTTAAACTAGTCCCTGCCATTGTCTCTTGAAAGACCTTTGGCCCCAGGTACAGGTCTAATCTGTTTGTGGTTTTTGCATCCCACTTGTCTTCTGAATAACTTCAAGTCACTTGTCAAGTTTTCCTGCCCTTTAGTTGGAAAAAAGAACCCCACAGGAATTATTAGCTGTTTGCTTTACAGTTCACAAAGTTGAATTGAGGTGTTTTAGGTGGCTCAGGCCCTGATACTTCATCGTTTAAATAATTGGCCAGAGCTGCTTAGTGGTGGTAGGAGAGCAATGATCCCCTTGAGGATATTTTAGTGTTTTCCTAGGAGAAATGCCAGCTACATCTACAGGGTAGGAACAGTGCTTTCCTTGTAGGCATTACGCTCCTATTATAACATTTTCTCCTGTACTTTAACTGCTGTTATGCAGGAATCGGCTCCTTGGCTTCATTTGCTTTGCCCCAGTCTGGTGGGGCTCCATCTTTTTGTCTCTCGCATCTATAAATGGGTTGGAACAGGGATCACAGGGTCATCCTGTAGTTCTCCCATGGTTTAGTGGTGGGGAAACTTGCTGAAGTCACTCGGAGAACCCAACTATTTCCTCCTCTGCCTGGAACAACCATGTAGTGGTTTTACTTGGAGAGTTTTGTATGATTTGGCCTGCTGGCCCGTGATGCCAGGGGGAATAAAAAACCCTAGGCATATATTGAATCATTAAGTGCTTCTTAAGTTGATTCATTCTCCAAATATTTATTGGATGCAGGGGCCCAGAAGCTGAGCATGTGGTTCTATCTGCTTGCAAGCAGCAGCCCCCACGTTTCTCTGGAAAGGCTGATGGCGGGCAGCATTTGCACATGGTTAGTCATTGCAGTTTGGCTTTGAGTTTACACCTGAATAAAATCATTAGCACAAAAGCTTGGGCCAAAGAAAGACAGTTTTGCATTTGTTTAAAGCCTGGGCCGGTGCGGGAGGTGCGATGAGTCAAGATCTCTGTCTCTTCCTCTCTTGCTCTCCTGCCTCCCCTCTCTCTTTCTCTCATCATCTTCTTAAAGTGTGGTTGTTCTCAGTCTCAATTTCATTAACTTTGACAACTGCGTTTTCTTGTTTTCTGAGCCCCCGGGGCTGGTAGCAAAAAAATAGGTTAAAGGAAGGCAAAGTGATTCCCGCAGCTTAGTCCCTGCAGAATTCATGATTTTCTATCCATTTCTTGGCTCTGAAAAAGCGGGCAGTGGACAGAGGCAGAAAAGGCATAGGAGGAAAACTAGCTAGCTTGAGGGTGGGGGCTCCTTCCTGTGGATGTTGAAACTTGTTGAAAACCCACGAAGGGAGGACTCTGTCCACTGCAGGCGGGCCAGGCATTCGGAAAAGCCTGTGGGGGAAGAGGGGTGGCCTAGACACAGGCTAACCCCCTCCCCAGCACCTACCCTCTTCACGCACCCACCCACTCACAGACAATGCCACAGGGCGAAACCTTGAAATAAGAGAGGAATGTCCTAAATTAAAACATGTAAATGCCTCTCCAAGAGTTCAAATAAAATTGCATTTTAAAAGGAAAAGACATAAACTTGTCACCTCAGTTTATTACTGAGTGCTTTTGAACTTCTCAGAAAAGAATGCTCTAAACTCATGAGAGAAATATGATTTATGATCCCCTCCTTCTCTTCTTTTCCATTCTGTGGGAGGAGGTACAGACAGGATCAGCTAGGGAGGCAGAGTTGGGATGAGGGCAAGCCCCCACGGGGGAGCAGCAGGCGAGGGCGCCAGGCCAGACCCTGCCTCAGACCAGGCATGGACACATCTCTCCAGCTTTCTGAGCCTCTCTCTTGTACTTAATGTGAAGAGGCTGTTCTGGGTTCCTTGTTCTTCTAATATTTTGAGCTTCTGTATCATATTTAAAATCTTTCTTTGATATTCTAGTTTGGAGAGATTCTACTTACAGCATTGAAAGACAGACTCTGTTACCTGTGACAGTTTAAGTCCTAAAAAGTTAAAATAGAATAAAATTGACATTTCTTAGAGTTTGCTATTAAGTAAGGGTGTTGGCCAGGCATGGTGGCTCACACTTGTAATCCCAGCACTTTGGGAGGCTGTGGCGGGCAGATCACTTGAGGCCAGGAGTTTGAGACCAGCCTGGCCAATATGGCAAAATCCATCTCTATTAAAAAAACAAAATTAGCTGGGAGTGGTAGTGCGAACCTGTAGTTCCATCTACTTGGGAGGCTGAGGCAGGAGAATCGCTGGAGGTGGAGGTTGGAGTGTGCTGTGATTGTGCCACTGTACTCTAGGCTGGGCAACAGAGGAAGACCCTGTGTCCAATCAATCAATCAATCAATCAGTCAATCAATGTAAGGGTCTTAAACCATCGCCAAATCACAGGAGTCTATGTTTATGTCCCGGGCATTTTAACCCTCCAATTCAATCAGTGTTTATTAAGCATCTTATAGAGCTCCTAAGAATTTTGAAGGTTGACTTTAATAGCTTCACCTGTGGAGAGTCTCATGGCCGGGAACATGAGAGGTGCTGGTGTTTCTAGCAAAGCCTGGTTTGCCCTGACTCTGTAACTCATGGCGGAATAAATGCCCCATAACCACCACCCCATGTTAGAGAAGATTCTTAGGGAGGGGTTTGGAAAACAGCATGGGCCAGGCATGGTGGCTCGTGCCTGTAATCCTAGCACTGTGGGAGGCTGAGGCGCGCCGATTGCATGAGCTTAGGGATTTGAGACCAACCTGGGCAACATGGCAAAATGCCATCTCTACAAACAACACAAAAATTAGCCAGTCATGGTGGTGCATGCCTGTGGTTTCAGCTACTTGGGAGGCTGAGGTGGGAGGATTGCTTGAGCCCAAGAGGTCAAGGCTGCAGTGAGCTGAGATTGTGCCACTGCCCTCCAGCCTGGCCAAAAAAAAGACCCTCTCCCCCCCAAAAAAAAAAAAAAAAAAAAAAAAAAAGAGAGAAAAAGAAAAACAACATGATCAACAGGCATGGCTTTAGCTCTCTCCAAGGCTTAAGAGTACAATGTGGGGAAATTAAGAAAAGGACAAGAAAGGGAATGTCATATTACAGAGACCCAGCCTTGACTGACTGACCTCGGAAAAGGTACTTCATTTCTCGGTGCATTCTTCTCTGTGCAGCAGGGCTGATGCTGCCTTTGTCATTGTAGTGGGGGGTCTACGAGATATTTATGGAGCACTTAGCTCAGAGCCTGGCTTATGGGAAATGTTGGATGACCATCAGGTATTGGGTGCTCGCCGAGTGCTGAGAGCTTTACCTATGGTGTCTCCTTTAATTGTTAAGGCTAATTTGAGATCCAATCCAGATTCCCATTTTACCATGAGCAAATCGAGTGCTAGAGAGTTCTCTACATAACCTGAGATTGAATAGCTCAGAAGAGCCAAGATCTGAAATAAGACCCTTCTGCTTCTCTTTGCAGATCTGAAATAAGACCCTTTCTTCTGGCCAGGCGTGGTGGCTCACACCTGTAATCCCAGCACTTTGGGAGGCCGAGGTGGGAGGATCACAAGGTCAGGAGATCGAGATTATCCTGGCTAGCACAGTGAAATCCCATCTCTACTAAAAATACCCAAAATTAGCCGGGTGTGGTGGCAGGCATCTGTAGTCCCAGCTACTCGGGAGGCTGAGGCAGGAGAATGGCATGAACCCACAAGGCAGAGCTTGCAGTGAGTTGAGATCATGCCACTGCACTCCAGCCTGGGCAACAAAGCGAGACTCTGTCAGAAAAAAACAAAACAAAACAAAAAAACAACCGTTTCTTCTCTTTGCCTCCTTTTGTCTTTGCCAGTTTTTCTAGATAAAAATCAGATGCTCACCTGGGCATGGT